TTCTTCATTAATGAACTTGGATTTTGAAGAAGGAGCTTGTTCAATCCTTTGTAGACCTTCATCTTCAATTAATGAGCAATTTCTTACTCTCTCTCCTCTATTTTTATTTGTTTATTTTGATTATTATTTTAGTTTTTGGTATTGCTTGTTGATCATGTTTATCCTTGATTGTTTGTTAATTAATCTTGTTATCAACATGATTAGTGAGTAATTTCCCCATTAAGGGGATGGTTGTGGTGTAGTTGGACCTTGAGCATGTTCTAGGGTTTGGAATTGATTTATTTTTTATTAAAGTCTTTATATGCTTGATATTCTTTAATCTTCTTTCAAGTGCACATTGTTAGTTGATTAAAGGTGAATCTTTGCTAACAAGAAACGGAAGTTGACTTAGTTAAGGTTCATTACTATCGATAGTTCATTGATTGCACCTTCTAATATATGGTTCTAGTGTGGAAACATAGAGGCTATGTTAGGAGAAACCAATTGACCCTGGAAGGCGGCTAGATTGGATCCTTTATTTCGATATTCGAGCATGTTTAGTTCATAATTAATTCAATTTCTATGCCTTTGTTTATGTTCAAGTGAATGCTATACCTAAACCATTTCCCTTAATGTTTTATTTCTTGTTTTAGCATTTTTAGGTTTTAGTTTATTTATCTCCTATTCCGGACTAGCTTGATTGTCGATAACATTTGGTGGTGTTTAATCGTTCTCTGTGGTTCGACCCCTATGCTTGCCTTATACTCGTATTAGGTTTGTTTTGGTTGTATAAATTGTATTTGATCTAGGGATAGACAATTGACGACGCGTTTATTCCCTTGTCACGCCTGGCGACAAAACTGTCGTCTGGCGCTATAATTAAAATTCTGGCGCTAATATGCTGTTCGCTGACGCTAATTCCTACATGCCTCAGCAGCTTTCTGTGCTCGATAAAATTTTTCCAGTTTTGCGCAGTGTTATTTCGGTCCTAGTTGTGAAAGATATTTCTCAAATTTCCTACGTGTAAAATCCTATGTTGTAACTCATTACGGATGGTCTTTCCAATGAGTTCTTTTTTATGCATATGACAATAATGTTAATCAAAATTAGGCACATGATATACTTAGAACGTTTCGAGTCTCATCCACTCATTCTAAATCATTGCCGAAATAAATTTCAGGAATTAAAATAGAAATCCTCCCCAGTGCAGTCGCCAAAAACAGTAGGGAATATTTCAAGCGTTAATCCCTAGCTTGAACCCCACTGTGATCATACACTAAAGTACGGTGGCGTCCAAAGGGAAAGAATATAGAGTAAAAGAGTCGCTAACAAGTTTATTTTAGGAACTTGTAAACCATTCACGAGGTGAAGGTTACACCCCTTAATGATCGAGGAGATCGTCAACTCCAATAGGTCTGGAACCATGACTGGTAGTTCGGGGATGAAGGTACAAATCCAACCTAAAAGAGATTGAACCTGCCCTAATAATAGGCCTCTACTTTATTCTAATCGTATTCATGTGCGTTTTTTGACTAACATGCAATCAATAAGATTAACCCTAAACCTGTTTAATCTATGTTGGTTGAATTTAATGCACAAATAAACTACTATTGGCGATCACTTGAATTATAATCATATTAACCCTAAACAAGATTATTAATTATCTTATTAAGCGTTATTACAAGTACAAATTCCCTTTAAACATGCATAAAAGGTGTGATCAAGTAATAAAAATAAATATCAAGCAACATAATAAATAATCATCATAATAATAATTAAAATCATGTTAAAGCATAATAATAGCAAGATCCTAGGCATGATACTAACAAGATTAATAACAAACCCTAGCATGTCACAAAACAATAAAAATCAAAGCTTTAACCCTAACATGATACTAACAATCATAAATATTAAGAAGAACATAAAAGACATCTTAACAATCATATTTAGTATTAAATTTACCCTAGACATGATACTAGGAATATCATAATAACAACCTAAGAATGAACTCTATATCATAACATCAATAAAAACCATTAAAGTACTTACTTGGATGCCTCGTACCTCTTTCTAATAACAAAATACACACGTTAGTAACTTCAAGGAAAATAATAAACAACAATTAAATTAAATAATAATTGAAATAAAGATTTGGGACCAAACCCTCAGAAATTAAAACTTTCACGTCTAGGGTGAAGGCAACTTCGAACTTGGCTAGGTGTTTCTAAATCTAATGAATGCGGAATTTTTATATTTGAGAGAAGGCTAGTTTAGAAAAGAGAGAGAGAGAGAGATATCAAGAAAATCTTGATGAGAGTTGGTGAAAATTGGTTAATAAAAAAGGAGTTTTTAGCACGTTATTTATAGAGAAAATCAGTCAAAAAGATAAAACATCAAAAATAGAGTTCTGACACGAAAAGTCAGATTAGCGCCAAACGCTGACCATAGCGCCAGGCGACAAGCGTAGCGTCAGGCGCTAAGCTGGAGTTTGGCGCTTACCAAGAAATCGACGCGTTTTCTTAAAATCAGATAGAAATTGCCGTACAGGAGGATAAAATCGTATTTTCTTCAAAAACGTTCTTTGATTCTGATTAAAACTCTAAAAAGTCAACAAAAGTTAATTTATCAATGTTAATTGAATTAGGAATGAAAAGAACCTTCTAGAAGAATCTAGAAAACTAAAACCATTCCTAATTGCATTAGGAATGATAAATCTATATTAGGCCCTCCTCTAGATCATTGGGCCGCATATAAGGCTCAAACCAGGCCCAGTTCAGTAATTTGGCCATAACTTCCTCAATATTCATTGGAATTGGGCTTATAATATATTGTTGGAGAGATCTTTTCAAGCCCTATCCAACTACACTATTATTGGACCTATATCATGGACCAACCAAACTAGATTAGCTGTTTTCTTAAAATAGGTTTTCAAAATTAGAGAGAAGAGAAAAAAAATTAAAAACTATCCGAAACACTAAACTTTCCACACTTTCACTTCATTCGATTATGATTCGACGTGAAAGGTACTCATCACTGAATTTGGTTTTGGGGAGACACAAATGGGTGTCTACAGTAAGTCATTTTTTTCCCTTTTAAATTAGTCCACCAGAAGTTATCTTAAAAGATGGCGGTTCCATGTCAAAAGCTCTGCCAGCTACAACCGGATGCTGCTGCGCAGCAAACTAGGATACAATAACCAAGTTTAGCAATTCTAGTACCAGAGCATAAGATTTGGTTATGGACTTAAATACATACGATTTTGCCACTGTGGGAATAGAAAAATGACCACACTAGAATACTGTTGTAGGACAACCACATCAACTTAAAACTTTACACCACCAAAACGAAATTCATTTATACAAAGGAAGCGATTTGCACATTAACAGGAAGGTGTCATACCCTGGTAACTCTGAAGACCAGGGAAGATTTTCACTGTAACTTCACCACCACCTGATCACCCTTCTGGATGTTTTGACATGTAATCATTTTCTTTATTCCTTCCCCCTTCGTGTTGCATAGTTTAATCCTACAAAGATTTTTGACTCATACAAGCTCTGGTTCATGAACACATCTACATCATTCTTAGGTCCCAAGAAGGCTAGGTGAGCTTTTGCAAATGCTAATGGCACATTCTACAAAAGTTGTTATTAACAAATGAGTGGAATCATCATAACATATACAATATCTTATATTTGAACTAAACAAACATAACATGCCTTACTACATTAATCAGCCTCTGCATTGTGTTTGTTAAAATTTCAAATGGGAGGAGTTTGGGAAAGGGATAATTAAACTCTACTTAAGTATTAAGTTTTTTTTCATCATATCAAAGTCTATATGTATACCAAATTCTTGAGGTGAGTATCAACTTCAGAACAACATAACAAATTAATATGTGAGATTAGGCAATAGTCCATCTACATAAAGAATCCCTTACTAGCCTATTCACTTTAATGTAGGGCTGAGTTAAAGTTGTCCTGGACTCCAGCTGCATCACCTTAGTCCCATCAGATTGGGTGCTAACAAAATCTCTAGAATTTGGCTCAGACTCAGTTGAACTCCCATCAGATCCTTCATAGGCACCATCACCTGTATCCTTTGAAGACAGAACAATGACATCGGACTTAGATGCTTTTGGGACCTCTACACCTCCTCTGAAAAACCTTCACATGGAATCTCCTATATCCCTCGTAAGTTATTTCTAGATTGTCTTCTAGCTGGATATTCTCCTCATCCATGAATTTTTCCCATCCTCTCCCAAATACAGTTTCCTCACGATCAGCGTACGATATGTAAAGCAACCACAAGTTGTACCACTTATAGTCGTTTCCTCGGCGAGCCTTGACAACAGATTCTCCTCTAATAATCTTACCGATCCTTTTCGGAATTGACTGCGAAGGTTTATAATGGTTAGCATTATACCATGTGGTAGGACTTCAATGCAATTAATTATAAAGAAGACTCTCACCATGGTACTAAATTTGGATCTGTCCACCGTTACATCAAATGTTAGCGTGTTCTTGGCCGCCATAATTACCTAACAAATAAACTAATAGCCATCACTAAACACTGATTAAGTGATTATACATCGTATACTCAAAGACATAAATTAATATAGCCAACTACCATGGCAAACCAATATCACTATAGACGTTGGACATCTTTCTCATTATCTTACATATAGTAACACTTATAGGAACAAGTTATGTGTTGTAAATTATAACATGGTAATCTCTAATTCACATCTAAATTGGTCAGCTGGTGTATTTAGTAAACCAAATGGACCCTTGTCTCAACTGTCATGCACAAATCAGCAAGACATGTGAATATTCCAATCACAAACTGTATAGACATTCACTACTACAAAATGTCCAATAAGAAACGCGAGGTAGAGAACGGTTAAGCTGGATAAGCGTTTCACAGAACTATATAGAACGCCTCTGGCTGTAAAGCGTTTTGTAAAGGAATGAATATAGAACGTTTATCTACCTAACCGTTCTGTATTACTTTTCCAATTGAAAAGTCCCTTAAAAAAACTTTGGGCCTTGTGCTCTTTTACAAATCACAACCGTTAATCAATAAAGCTAATTTCTTTATAAATGATACTCCTTACCAAAATAAATGGAACTCCTACTAAAACCTAACTCCTCCAAACGTTTGACAGTCGCCATCAACTCCTCACCATTAAACTATCAACTTCCTTTCATTTCACAAACCCACAAAATTTAAGAGGTGTTCTAAAATGGGTGGTCTAACATTCGCTCTTCTAAAATTTTACCCTTGACTTTATATGTTTTTGTTCATGATTTTCTTTGACGAAGATTGCCATGGTATGTTGTTATTCTTCTTTTCCTAGATCTATTTTTGAGGTATTAGTTTCGTCAATTCTATATACGATTGGTGAATTTTAAACGTTTTTAAACTGAAGAACTTTTGTATTTGTTGGTTTATTTTTAAAATGATGTAATTTTTCTCTGCTAAATTAGAGGTTGTTTTCAATTAGAGTGAATTCGCCTCTTTGTATACTAGACTAGATCTACTTTTGAATTAATTGTTCTCATAATTTTGGTTCTATATTTGCATCTTCAGGTCAAACAATTTGTTTAACTATATTTGTTTCCATTAATTATTAGAATTCAGATTCAAACTTTATTCTTTCTAGTCCATGAGGTGATAAGTTTCTACTTCGTATATTTTTTAAGTTGATTTTAGGGGAATGAGATTCTTTTGTTCATTCTTTATTTTTGTTGTTAAGACTTAAGATTTTGATTTCAACGGATGTAAATTCTATAGTGTATTGTTTAAACCTTGTGACTTGTTCTTTCTGAATTTTTTCAATTGATTTTCTTACTATCAATTTTATTGAATACGGAGTGTGTTTGTATGGTTGAATATTAATCTAATAGTACTTGTGTTTGCAGATATTTTGAAGTCTAGAGTTCATAAGCGACAAGTATTTGAATTGGCCGGAAGGAGTAACGAAGATTTATTTTCTTGTATCATCTTGAATTATTTGTGAAATTATTTGTAGTATATGACCCCAAAAACCTTCTAGATTCGCTCAATCTATCAATCGATTTTGTACACTAGCAATGTATGACATAGGTTAATGACGTCACATAAGTGTAATGGTTACTTAAATAAACAAATTAATAAAATTACCTATTAGAAGAGCAATTTAAATATACCGCTTTTTTCTACAGTCAATTATTAATATAAAGACTTCAAAATTATGTAGTATCATTGAAACCGTTACGAGGTATAAATTTTGTCAAAACAATACTCACTCTGTTATTTTTATATGCTTTTTAATTTGTTTTCCCGGCACATTTGCTTAGAAGGTTCTTTGACCATAAATATCTCGCATTGTTTATTCTAAAAAAAATGCTGGAACATTATATTATTAACTAGACATTTTTACGGATCTAACGATGTATAATATGATAAATGTTATTTGAATTTTTTTATGTTGAAGAAGTTAGGTCACACATGGTATGTGAAGATTACAATTGTCAAAGTGATGCAAATAAAAAAATCGGAGGGAGTATCATAGTACCGTAGGTATACTTTGCCACTAATGCACATAAGATATATAATTCAGGCTACTTTTTATAAAATTATCATATTTATTTATTAAATCGTAAATACATATAGTTTAATAATTGAATGTGGTAATGAATTTATAACCATTGTTACTTATTACAGTGTACATTTTTTCCCTATGTAACCTTAACCACTTATGCATTCCATCCATAACATATCCAAACATTTTATTATCCGCAATATTTATAATTAGAATATACCCACTTATTATTTTGTGAATTAATGTCATTTGAATAATCAAGTACATCAATTAATGTATATATATTTACCTTATTTCTCATGAAGTGATAAGGACATTCAAATAATCATTCCCAAAAATCTAACATTTTATGCATACTACTTAATAAAGTTTGTAATGTACTTAAACATCTTATAATGCATAGTATATTATGATTTTTTGTATTTCGAGATCAATAACACTTACATGTAATCCATGACTAACAAAAGTTGCCCATTGTGGGGCTTAAATTAGTGCGTACATCGTATTGAGTTGAGCTATTAAGTGCTACAGGAACAAGATAATACATGTATGGATTTGATGAACAATATATTAGCTGTTGCATAGATTAATGGGAACGCAATGGACATCCATCTTGAAACTTTGTGTGATAATATGGAATATATTACTTCTTAAGTGCTTATAGCCTGCTATTCGAAAAAAAGTGCTTATAGCCTTATACACCATGTTAATAGTGGAAATATGATACACATTGCTTTTCAAGTCGATCTTTGTGCAATTGGTGTACTCTAAATGTTAGATCAAGGGTTTACGGGTCATTTTGACCCTTTAAGAGTCTTAATCGAAATAGAGACTGGCTATAACAAATAAAAAATACTCAATATAAACAACTATGTCGTATAATCTAAAACCCATTAGCATTGTCCTATTTGGCCATCGCCAACTTTAGAAACTGTATTACAATATATGTATACACTCTGGTAAATATCGTATGTTAATAGATCATGATTACAAGTTATTATTAGCTTGTACATACACATAGCTTATTAATGTATTGTATTAAGTAGCAAATCAGAATGTGTTCATCGTTGTGCTCCCTAATTTGTTGTTGTCTGTGCTGTAACCTACATTATACGCAATTCGACTATACAAATTACAGTACAAGTCCTTTATTCGGGTCGTTATAAGATATATTTAGTTAGGTTAGAAATCGGCTTCATATTAATGTAGGTTTTTAGATTGTACCTCTACCAAAACACTTAAAATTGTACTCCATAAATAACAAATGCATAAATTTTAATTTCGTATCATACCTACAAATGATACAAAGATTTTTCGTGTATGATGTGTAAAATTATTATGTGTGCGTAGTGGTAATTATATTTATAGAATATTAGTAACCTAATTGAATTTAAAATGTGGCACCTTGATTCATACTACAATTATGTCCGTAAATGCAAAATTCGGGAAATAAATTAATTCCTCGGTTAAAGTGAAGCGAGTAGCGAAGTTTAAAGAGACACGAAATGGAAATGTTTCATACTTTTTTCTATAAATCAAAGAATCAAAGTACCAGATTTATCTTTATGTCCAAACTGCGAACCGTCAATTTCATTTCAATTGTCAAAAACAAAATTCACTCGATTTCGTACTTGCTCTAAATTTTCAAGATGGTCGGAAACAATGGCGGATCGTCAATTTCCAAAGCTTACCGACAATACCTCGAACAGAGGAAGTCGAGGAATGAAAAAGAATTAGACAAACTTCTTAAAATGCGCCTTGAGATAGTTAACAGGGTTGATGATCTGTTCAAGGATAATGAGTACATAGATGGCTGTTTAGAGTGTACCAACAGGACCAATGAAGACAAACAACAGGGCCCACGACCTAGAAGTCTTGTGGTTGGAGGTGTTATAGAAATAGAAAGTGATAGTGATGTTGATGCTCCAGCAAGGAAGAGGCAATTAGTTGTTGGGGAATCATCCAATCTGATGAGCGTGGAGGTAATTGGACCGAAACTATCTCTGGCGGCGTTGAAGGCGGGGTATGTGACATGGAGATATGCAAGGAGGAGGCTTCGGCGTTCAATCAAGTTGAGGATGCTTCAATCGTGAATCATGAAAGGAATGGTGTCCTTCGAACAAGTGTATTATTCTTATAGCGGGTTCAGAATTATTAGAAATCTAATATATTACGTAAGGTCAAGTGATTGGAATGCCTGGGTGGAGGCCGCTTCCAATCAGTAATATTAATATAATTAATATTACAGCTTAATCTTGACTGAACCCTTCGGGTCACACCCAAGCAAAATATACGAACCAACTCGACGAATTAATTCGGAAGAAATTAATTCGTCGCCCGAGTGTTAAACATTTAGACGTCGGAAATTCGAGCTTGGAGCGTCAAAACCGAGCGTCGGAGAATCTCAAATGTCGAGCCAAAATTTAGGATTTGGCGAGACGGGAAAATGCATCAAGTAACAAGTAAAATCCTAGCCACGCAAAAGGCTAGGAATGCATGCCCAATAGGAGCATGCCATGTGGCAGCACACATGGCAAAACGCCATGTGGCAGCACACGTGGCCGCCACGTTGGCAGCCGCCAAGTGGCAACATCCACGTTGGCAGCCACCACATTGGCAACCACCTAGTGGCAGCGTGCCACGTGGCAGCGCCATGATGGCGGCGCGCCACTGTGGCGACACATGTGGCAATGGCCGTGGACCCGGGTTGATGGGTCATGGACACGTGCGAAAATAAAATGGGCCAACCGAACCCAACTTGGGGCTCAAGGTTGGGTGACACATGGTAATTTCACATTGCATGTGAAATGCCTTGGGGACCAAGTGAGAAAGTGGTCCACACCTAACCATGTGACACTTGTTACTTGTTCCTTTGTTTATTTAACTAAGGGTTTAATTCACCAATCTTTCCATGTGGGATCTTTTTGTGAAAAGTCCCACATTGAAAGATGAGTGAAATTCACAAGGCATACTTCCTTATAAATAGTCATGGAATGGCTTGAGAATTCTTTGCTTGAGTGGGAGTTAAAAAGAGCATTCCATAATTTTGGAAAAACTCTTAAACTCATATAACACTCGGGTTTTGGTCGGACCTTGCTAACCCCAAGGTAGCGGACCTTAAAATTGTGTTCGCCCTTTTTGTGGGTGGATACCGTCGGAGGCGCGGCGCTTGACGTGCTCGTAGCTTTCAAATAAGAGCCCCGGTTTTTGGGCGAAGCTCGCTTTAAGGGTAAGATTCGTTATCTTTTCTTTGTGATTATTTATTTATGCTTTATGATTTTAATTATTGCGAGTGGTTCCTCGGGTCGGGGTTTGTTTCTACGGTGAGTCGGACTCACCAAACCCCAACAGCGGTATTGGAGCCCCGCTCGTTTATTTTTTTAATCATGTTTTTCAAGGTTTATTTTGGCTTAATTTTCTGGTTTAAGTTGCTAATTAGATTAGTAACTCGGTTTTATTTATTTTAATCTCGTTTTTATGTTGATTTTGGCCCAGAACCCAGATTTTCGCCCAAGACTAGTGAATTTTGGGTGGAAAACGTGTTCTGGAAAGGTTTTTATCCCCAAGGGGCCTGTGATTTTAGCCAAATTCTGACCAGAAATGCTTTTTTCGAGGGGTTTTTCGTTTTTGATGAAAAATTTTAAGTCTTTTCTAACCTTGAAATTAATGGCATAAATTGTTGATTATATGGTTGATTATTTGCATTATTTTCTGCATTTTTATGTCCCCTTAAAGCACACTTACTTGGTAGTATTTGATGCTTAAAGGTTGATCTATTTTCACATAATTGCAAACTAATTGCTTTTTAGTGTGAAAGTGTTAATTTTGAGGCTCCCTAAGTGTTAAAGATTCAATCTTTATTTGTGATAAGTGATTGAAACTTTAAAAACCACTAAATTCCATGTTATTTTGTGTTAAACTTTGATGTTTTAATCATTTTGAGTTGATTGGAAACATAAAGTTTCGATTTTTGTGATAGAAATTTGGTTATCTTCATGTTGAAAGATATAATTTTCAAGGATTCACAAAATTTAGATGTTGGAATTTTCATTTGAACATTAAAGTTCATATTTTTCCAATTTCCCTTTACTTTGTCAAATTCTCAAGTTTAATTTAAATTGATTAAATTGAAAGTGAGAAATTGCCTCAATTTTATGTTGCACCAAGCTAAACCAATTTAATTAAGAATGGTTGTTGGAATTATTTTGGTTATTTGCACTTTGAAAATTTTATTAAGTTAGACTTGTTTAAAATTTTATTTTGCTCTCTAAATTAGTTCTAAAATTAATTTAGAATTAATTATTGTTTTCTCGCGAAAAGGGATCAAATCCCGAGGCCGTGTCACGCAAAACGAGGCAATGCATCACCTTGGCGAGCCGGGCTACATCGCAGCCCATATGTGGCTGCCAAGGTGGCAGCGCCGCCTTGCTTGCGGCCACACGCGCGACAGCAGCCACGCACAGCAGCAGCACGCGGGCTGCAGCAGCCACGCGCGGCTGTGCCGTGGCAGCAGCTCGCGGGCGTGTGCCGTGGGTCGTGTGTTCGTGTTTTTTTTTGGCATGTGCGTATGCTTGGTGCGATGAGCTGACTAGCCGTAATATT